GTGGTGTTTTCCTGCCTTTAATCGTTGACATGACTCTACCTTCAAGGAATAGTTCAACATTGTGCTGTTTTTTAGCCACAATCTGTTTATTCATCTGGTCGACACTTCTGTGTAGCGTATCTAGCAGGAAGTTACCGGATACAGTTGGTGAGCACAGATTTTGGTTTTGAAAAATTCAACATGTTTTCCTTTTACTTTGTTAAAGTAATTTATAGTGTTTTTTCATAAAGGCACACAACTCAGATGTTTAGGAAATAAAAGATTATATTTTCATTGATTGAAGTTTAAGCAAATCTTGTCATAGTTTTAATGATGTTGATAATGTTATGAATTACCATCGCCCAATACTCATTTTCACTGGATAGAGCCTGAATGCATCATAATGTAACTGAGCAGAACCCTCGTTTGTTAGCCATTAGCCACATTACCAGCTCTCCTTCGTTACATTTCAACACAAATTGGTTGTTTACAATGTAACATTATCAGAGATCGGCGAATATAAAACTTAAATGCCGGTGTACTGATAGCTTATTTTACTGAATATTGGCGGATAACGATCATCAGCAAAACTTTATTTCACACTGTGATAGTTAAGTAATTAATCCGCGGTTCACATGCGTGCCAAACCGCGAGGGATGATCCGTACGGATCACGGATCAACCGTGGTCCTCTACACCACTAGTCTGCATCCACAGCATTCCAAATGAACACATGGCTGACAAGGAAATTCACACCGGGTCGGACACACATTGGATTTGTTCGTCAGTGATTTTTCACTTTGGTTTTGGTCCAATTTGAGAAGTGAAAAGAACAGCGGGTGAGCCAAGTGGAATCAGTATGACGAGTGTGGTGTGACTTTGAAAAGTTCCTCTTGTAAACTCAGTTCCCGCTTCATTTTGGCAGCATCAAACCGACATATGAACAAGAAGGGAAGAAGGAGACCATCAGATAGGTATAGCCGACGGACAGACAGACATGTCATGGTGACCTATATTACTTTTGCCCGCTGAGAAAAAGAGAGAGAGAGGGGATGAGAGCAAGAGAACTTGTGTCGAGGTGACAGGTGTCTGTCCTTCTCCACTCCGTCTCCTCCATCTCTCAGGCTTCTGAGGCAGTAATTGGTGCTGTCAGACACACAGAGAAGGACCGGACACACACTCTCAAACACACGTCTAGTCACAGCTGCACACACATACACACTCCTGCCCTTCAGTATGTTCCTCTAGGGCTTAAGGCAGGAGAGGTTTGAGGGGAGAATTCACTACATTCCCTACCAGCTGTGAGACAGAGAGACAGCAGGAGAGGGCAAGGGAGTACGAGGTGGAAATGGAGGGGAGGGGGGGGAGGGTTGGGTAGAGGAAACAGTGGCAGACAGAAACAGAGAGCGAGAACAGAAACAGAATGCACAAGAGACTAAGACACAGAGAGAAAGGAAAGCAAGAGAGCGAACGAGGCAGGGGGGGGGGGGGGGGGGGGGGGCACTGAGAGGGGTCTCTCTGGGGGGGACGAGGGTGAGCAACTGTATGTGGCAGGGAGGGAGGGAGAAAGAGTATGTGTTGAAAGAATAAGAGTGTGTGAGAGGGAGGTTACGTAACTCCACTGGTGACAGCAGAGGAGTGTGATATCATGTGATGGAGCAGCAGAGCCAGAGAACTCAAAATAAATCAAACATGTATTTAATATACTTAGGCATTTTTTGAGCCATTGGGATTTAAGCAGTTCTTTCAAATACATTTACTTCAAACGTAAATAAAAGACCTGTTACCATGTCTACCGAGTCAGGACGTTGTCTCTATTTCCCCTATAATCAGTACCAAATTACTGTTTGTTTAGGAAATTTAAATAAATGGTACATCATCCTGCAGAAATACATCCCAATTACTAAACCTTTAAGAAAAATGAAGTTATATATTTGTGACCTGTTTTTAAAGGAATGAATTTATTTGGTTTGGGATTTTTAATGAGATTATCCAAAGAAATATCAGTATATCCTGATCCCATGGTCACTGTCAAGAAGCGTGGTAGTTTCCATCACACCCTGGTGGCTTGTTGTTGCTTGCTCGACCATATTTCCCATGAATCACATTATTTCCTCTTTCACAGTCAGATACTATGCTTGTTTGCACTGTAGCAAAAGTGGCCCGCCTGAGCAGCATAAAACAATTCACCAGGTTTAATCGATTCCATGTGTCCAACAGTAACACCATGAACAGATACACACATCTGCGCCTAACGTTAGGGAACAAGAAGCAAGCATGGGGTGAGAACATAGAAAAAGAGAAAGATGAATCCGTGATCTATAAATGTTTAACGAGTGAAGACAGAGGAGATGAGGGCTGCGAGGAGGAGGAGGAGGAGGAGGAGGAAGACAGAAAGAAAAATGGTGAGGTGAAAAAGGAAGACAGTATCACAAAGGATGGGTGAGGAGCAAAATGGGGGGCATGTGCGAGAGAGAGGTGGAGAAAAGTCCCATTATAGAAACAGACACCAGAGCAAGGTTCGAAAATAGCAGACAGGAAGGGAGAGAGCCAGAGATTGAGAAAAAACGGCTGTAATTGGAGGTGTCTGGTGTTTGTCTAACACAGAGAGGCAAGTAATGATTCCATTAGCGCCTCACACCGAGAGAGGGGGAGACAGGGACACAGAGAGAGTGTCACACAGCGACAAAAAGAAGAGACTAGAGATACCAAAACAATGCGAGAAGATTCACACAGACTATTAGAACATGAAAAAAATGAGCATCAGAGCAGCTAAAAGGTAAAAAAAAAAAAGAAGAAAAGAACCGGACACAAAAAGAACAAGAGAAATGGAATGCGAGTCGTCCGTGAAAAGGCTTGTTCACCTGAAGATAATTACAAATGCCCCTCCCGTCCTTTCCCCAGCTCTCACCCATTCCTCTCTTTGTGTGACGGCAAACGAGAGAGGGTGATTTAAATGCATTAGCGGAGTGTGTTGTCCCTATGGAAGGCCCACAGACTGTGTCAGGGCAGGAACCTTTTGTTTGCAGCGCCGAGAGGACTCTTTAAAAGCCTGGCCCTTGTTCTCTCAGGGACACATTAAAGCGCAACGCGCAGGGTTGTTGTACTTCTCTGTGTCCTCCCATGTCTTTGTTAAAAGCAGGCTGATTACAGATGCAGTTACATTAGCCGGCTAAGTGAAATTTTGACGAGGGAAGGAAACACAGAATACAGGCACTTGGCGGGCGAAACGGCAATCGGCACCAATGCCATTTGGATAAAAGAAAGCTGTTTTCCAAGGTGTTCTTTTTGGCATTATCTCACGGGCGGCAAAAAAATACGAGATGTGTTAGACTGCCGTACGTGGAACAGCAAATTCTCCTGCAGTATGAGGAAATTTCATTGCTATGCAAATCCTGCCCGAGATTCCACAAAAACGTTTTTTCCTAATACTGAGTACGTGGAGCAGACAACCCTGCGGCGGAGAGGTTTAAATTCACCACGAAGGAATTAAAATCTGTTGGAAAATGCTATTTGATTGTTTCCAGAATAATTGCTACGCCACGAAATATGCCTTGAAATGAACGGAAACGAAAGACCTGGCTTAGTCTCCAGTGTTGCGGACAGCAGACACCTGTTTTGCCTCCAAAAATACAAAGACACACGCATGCACATCTGTATTGACCATAACTTCTTAGACGAGGGACACGTATATTTCCTGGCCTCTGACCTCACACTGTCAAAGGGAAACAACACACGTCTACAGCACACATTCACTTAACACACACACACACACATGCGGTTAATGAGTTAAAGCCAGCTTGTTAAACGTGCTGACCTTGATCTATTTATTCTCTGCGGAGGGATAAGACTCGGGAGCAGACTGATGAGGTCATGGAGATCACTGAGGTCAACCGCCAGACTGAATTTAAATAAAGTTTCCGTACGGGGAATGTGACATAGACCGTAGATAGCATAGATAGGTAGGGAAATAGTTTGACAGTGAAATCACCTGTCAAATAACCACAACGTGTCATTTTTTACAAGACACGCATGCAGCTAAGTATTTCACGATTGAGATGCAGCCAGACGTCTGCCACAATCTGTGCACATTACCAGTCTGCAAGCACCAGAGTACAGCTTCTGTTCCTACTCACTTGTCTCTAAGGCCCAACTGCCAGGTTTTCTGGGCGTCTTGGCTGCTTCTCCTCCAAAACAACTGAAATTGTGTTATGTGCACCAATTTTCCAAGTTTGCAGTGATGAATATCTATGAATCTATTTACTTTTTCGGGGAGGAAGCGAGCCCGTGGGGACAGGTGACGGCGCGAGTCTAATGCAGCTTGCACACTCAAATGCATGCGCACTCAGTATGCACACACATACAGATGCACCACATACTGCACGTGGCATCTGTGGAGTCTTACGATTCAATAATCTGCATACCTTTTCCTCTCCTTCAAAACAAACACACATCAATAAGCACTTTCACACACACACACACACACACACATGCACGCACACTCATACCACGCTCCTCCACTCTGCGGGGGGAATTAGATATTCAGCTCTGACAGACACACACTAAAAAATAAAAAAAGAAGAGGAGATGCCTTAAACAACTCCTACAGTAACCTGCTCTCTGCAAGAACTGACTTCACAATGTTGGCAGCTGTTACTCGGAGCAATGACATCCACGCTGACACACACACACACACACACACACACACACAAGCAAAAGAGTGCTGAAATGTTTCTGCACATGCTCGGCAAAGACACAAGGGCACACACGTAGTCGTTATTATTATTTACACATCACATATTCACGTCTTGAGAGAGCAGAATGATATGATTGCTGCGTTTCATTTAAATTGTGGCACTTTTGTAAGCTGTTGAGGAATCTCACTTGTCACTCCTCCTCAAGTTGCTTTCATATCAGAAGGCCAACCTTGATGAGGCCCGTGCATACAGAGAGATACACGCACACACACACACACGGAGTTACGAATGCATCCCACACACGCCCTCAGACCCCCCCACTCACGCTGGCAGACGTCCTTGTTCTCCTCGAAGCCCGGTTTGCACACACACCTCCCGATGGGAACCAGCCAGCCTCCGTCTGCACTGCAGTACATCTTCGGAGCCTCAAACTCCTCGGAGGCGTTCACGCACGCACCGTGGACCTCCACCAGCGCCGTGTCTCCGCCCGTTATTGTGTCGGGGAATTGGGCCAAGTTGAGCACAGTGAGGGGACACTTCTTGTAGAAGACCCTGACTGAGACCAGAGCGATACAGGCGCCGAGGTCCTGGAAGGCCAGATAGAAACCCTTTTTGCTCAGGTTGCTGATGTCGCGCACCTCCGTGTTCAGCTTCATGACGCGGTCTCCGACGTCCACCTGTGGACGAAGAACATTTCACATGCGTTGGTTCATTTTAATGGGAGCATTCAACTTCAATCAGAGCATTGTTTTTCCGTCCAAAAGTAATCCACGCAGTATAATGCTGCCGCCGGGAACTCAGGGAATGCAAGGCAGAAATAATGAAGTCCTCAAAACCCTGTCAATTCGACAAGCAGATGGGACGAGATTATATACAACACACATTCAAACCGAGATTTCTGTAGCAAATGGTCAATATCTCATTTTTTATCTCTTCTATGAGAGAATCAGATGGCCACATACAGATGGAGCTTAATGCTGAAATCAGTATAGAAAACACTGTCGAAGAGATGGCCAGCAAACAGATGCAATAGGAAACACTTTGATCCATTTTTGTCACTTGTTTTTTTTTGCTTTTTAAAGTAATGGGAGAGTAAAGCAAGTTTTACAGAAAGTGAAAATCCTGATAAGAGACAAACAAGACATTAGGCAGATGTCAGAACTGGTCTCTTTCATTTTAGTGATAGTGATGGAAATATTTACTTAATTGTTGCATTATTGTGTATTTTGCAACGCCCTATTTTATGTTGTATACACAGTATGTGTGTGTGTGTGTGTGTGTGTGTGTGTCTTCATACCTGTGTAAAACTCTCATCTGCAGCAATTGTATCGATCTTCACATACTGGCTTTCCTTGATGAACCACAAGTTGGCATTGTTGGACTCGTAGTAGTACATGTTGAATGTCTGCAAGAGAAACAGGCATCACTTTACAAACTCTAGAAATTGAACTTAACAGACAAAACAGAAGAAAAATAAAACATGCAATAAAACGAGATAGATAAAAGTAAGTCCATCCAGTGTGACATTTTAACAAGGCTCCCATAGCTCTGCAGCTATTCTGCTGCTTCTCTTCAAATCTCAGTCCATCTGTCTCGATGGCCGGTCAGCAACACTGCAGTTTCATGAAAGTGCAGCTCTGTACTGTCTCGTATTATCTCCGCTACTCATTCTGGAGATGTAATGAGAGTGAAGAGGGTGCAGAGGGCAGACAAAGTGGAGCGAAATGAATACAGAGGAGCAGTGATATCGGGCTGATATGAGAGAACGGGGGACAGTAAAAAAATATATATTGGAAGTTAAAATATACGAAGAGCCACAAAAGAAGCCTCGAGAGCGCCGTCTGTTTCATTCGGCAGCTATTCTCTCATGTCGTTCTTTCCCCTCCTTTTGTCTGTTTATCTATTCATCAGCCATGAACGTGAACTTCCATCTGTGTTTGTGTTTAGTGAGTGTTGGATGAAAAAAAATCATCAGCCTTTTTTGCTGCTCTGCAGTGCCATGTAGTATAATGTGCTGAATAAGCATTGATTTCACACAAAGTAATTATAGTAAACACAAAAACTACCACCTTTTGACTGGCCCTATATACTGTATATTGACATGTATAAAGCCATGCTGTGATAATAAAATGATCCAATATTTTGTGAAGTCCGAGAACACAAATCCTTCCCCAACACTGAATTCATTTTTATTTACGACATAATTGTGTAAACTGGCCTCAAGCAATACATGTTCAACCTTGTCTAAGAACAAAAAGTAAATTAATTTATACATTTCATCACTTTGCTCCTGCTTGCTTCTCATACTTAAATGTTGTTTGTTGTTGTTCTTTTGCTATCTCGAGTGTCTAGATTTTCTGCCGCAGTAAAAGGAAGCAGCAAAAGCAAACAATACAGCATAATTGTATCAGATCAAATATGGAGATCGGGCAGATTTAATTGAAAATGCAGAGAAGTGTTATTGAAGTTAATTCGCTGATTCATTTGATTAGCTGTGCACACTAAACAAAGTGTCGATTGCGTGTGCTGAGGGGTAAATGGGTTCCAATTTGTGATTAAACCATTTTCATGACGAATACAATATAAGTATTTGAGAAGTGAAGGATATAAGAAATACGGATTACATAACTCAATTCTATCCAAAAGGCTAAGAGCACTGCGTAGTTAGAGAACATTTTGTAGCAATGCAGAAGGGATTGAGATCTGAGGCAAACCCAGACTTCAAACAATGTCTGCCTCCATGTTCCAAATCAAACATACTCCTGTGCTATTGATCTCCAAAGCAGGAATGAGTCTTTATTTATTCATTTATTTTTACTGCTTCCTTCCAAAAGAAATTCAGAGCACACACACCAGCACCCATGGATCTTGTCACAATGCAATGTCTTGCTCACCAAGAGTGAACAAATAAGCAGCACAAATACAACAAGGAGAGCTCAAACACACACAAACCCGATGCAAGGACATTGGACAGCTGCCACCATACTGCTTGTGTGTTCAAAAGCTTGCATGTGTATTATTCTGTGTGTGTGTGTGTGTGTGTGTGTGTGTGTGTGTGTGTGTGTGTGTATGAAGGGATGCAGACCTCCTTGCAGGTACCGGGGACCCCGGGCAGGCTGTTACAGTCCCTCAGGGTGAACTTGATCTCAATGTGGACGCGTTGCGCTCCTTCTCGGCTGATGTGACGCGTCCTCAGCCAGTTGTTCTGGTTGGCCTCCATGACGTTACACACCTGGTAGGTCCTCATTGGGGTGTTCCTCTCATCCATCACACTGATCTCCTCCCACTGAGGATGAGAAAGAGGAGGTTTAGAGAGCGAGAGAGGGGGGGGGGAGCAAAGTGGGTCTCCCAGATAAAAGAGAGAGATGTTTATTTTACATGAAATTTTGTGATTGGACTTCCACATTTAGAAGATGACAATTGTTTTTCAGTAGAGAGCAAAATAAAGAAATGGGATGATGGAAAAAAGAAAGAAGGAAGGTAGGAGCTAAACAGATAGTGAAACATTGGGAGGGATTTGAGGGAAGGTGATTTAAATATGAGGGGGAGGAGAAGTCGAGGAAAGAGTGGAATGGGGAGAAATAGGTGAGCCGGAGGAGAAGAGGGAGAAAGGAAAGGAGAGTTCCAAACAGAAGAAGTGAGTGCTTGAGGAGTGCTTGAGTTGACGAGGAAATCCCCCTCAACTAAAGCACACATTTCAAATCAAAGTGGTAGAGTGACATTCAGCAGCACAGGGCCGGCTTGACAACAGCACCACTCAGCTGTGAGATCGTCTTATTTCATCGCCAGTCAATAGACAAAGGAGATCTCATTCCCAGTGATTGCTTTATGGGAAACTGGGCCCAAGTTCAATGAACTGTGGTTTCGATGCAAACCGACGCTAAGCCTGCGCGTTCTGTTTTTATGTCTGGGTGAATATGAGTGATGATCTGTGTCAAGATGACTGAAGGACTGTCTTTGTCCATGCTGCACGTGTGCACAGAGTGAGCGTGTTTTTCTAAAGTAAATGCATGATTTAGCGCTCAAGAGGTAGGAGTGTGTGTGTGTGTGTGTGAGAGACACAGAGAGAGAGCAAGAGGAAGCGAGAGGGAGTAGGTAAGACAGAGCTACTTTGTCTCCCGTCATCTGCTACCATCTGTTTCCACTTCTGACTAAAGCAGTAATTGAGAACACTTCTCGCATGAGCAGGAAAACATTTCTATCTACACACACGCACACACATAGACAGGCACACACTAACATATATATATATATATATATATCATCACACACACACACACGAAGAGAAAGAACATTTCTATTCCTTATTAAAGAAAAATGAAAATAAACCAATGTGGTTTCAGTGTCTCAAGATATCTGATCCAGTAAAGGGGAGGCTAACTGAATTTTCTTGGATCCACACACACACACACACACAAACTGGATGAGTCCTAGTTTGTGGTGAGGGATAAGAGGACCACCATCTTTGTTCTGAGCTCCTGTCATCGTCTTCAGGCTGAAGCTGTAAGCTCCACAGTGATGAGCACATATCACCTTACAGTAGTCCAACCGTGTAAACACAGACCCCGATACATACGTACACACACTCACATGTACTCCACGACCCATGGGGCTAACTACCTGTCATCCCTAACGTGCTTTTAAATTCAAATGTAAGTCCAATGGTAGATGAACTGAAAAGGCAAAGAAGAAAGAGAAAAAAAGAGAGAAACTTTCAGACAAGTGGAGTCCAAGCTAAGGTTGGATTCTTGAGGTTAATCTAATGTGACGGCCCAACAACCCGGCAAAAGCTTGACGCATTTCACCTCCAAGTCCTGAACGCTAAAACAGATCCACATAAAAAAGCACACACATTCTCACATAGACTCGCACACTCTCTCCAGCTCTCTCTTTTTCGCACACTCAGATGCTTTTAATCCCCCACAGCCTCCGCTGGGTCGTCTACTGTGTATGAATTGGAGCTCCAACAAAACCGTGTCTCTCTTGATCCTGACCCAACAGTCCTTCAACTGCAGGAACAGAGAGAGGGAAGAAATGTGAGGAGGAGAAGAAGAAGAGGAAGAGGAGGTAGAAGATTGTTTGAGCTGCTGCATTCAGCTGACACAAATGTCGCTGACAGCCAGTTCAGAGTTTTAAAATTACATATATAAAGGACGTATCACTGGAGTGTTGCTCGACATTATGTGCATACAACAACCAAGAGCTCTATTCAATTAAAATAACAACACACAAGACGGAGGGACAAAGAAAGAGAGAGGAATGAATGTTGGTAATTTACAGGCGCGCCTGGCAGCTAAATAGACCCATCTGTGCAGAACTGAGACCAGTCGGACATCACAGGACGGTCACACACACCCACTCACACACACACACACACACAAAGCTGAGTCCCCAGGGAGTGGTGATTAAAGCATTTATGGGAATAGTCATTGAGGGATAAAGAGAGCTTTATGATGTCTTTGTTTATTTATTTGTAGGCAGAGTTTGGAGTGGCTGGATTACTGCCACTTCCTGGTGAGCGACTTATTTCCCTAGTTGGCGAGTCTGTTCATTGTCACATTTGCCTGGTGTAAAGCACAGGTGTGTTTCGGAACATGAAAACGACCTGCACGCCCCTTAATTTGCTAACGATGCACCAAATGTTTGGTTAGGCTGAAGAGTTTAAGCTCCCTTTCTTTCTGACTCTAAACACACACACACACACACACACACACACACACACACAAAGTGTTGGTCCAGCCTGAACACTAATTAACATTCAGAATGAAACCCTCCTCCCTGAACCCTCAATCACCTTCGCCAATCAGTGCAGAGCCCGCTTGATTGCTTTGAAGTGAAGCAGAGACGTCGGATCAGGGTTTAAGTTCAACCATTCACCAGCTTAACATAATATCCCTCCTTCTGCAATCATCTGATGGGTACACCTACGAGGACGTAATTGGCCCCCAAACTCTGCAACAAGCTCTGGCTTAGGGAGGAGGGGGAAAGAGGTGGAGAGGGGAGGGAAAAACAGAGATGGAAGATGAAGAAAGAGGAAGGATGGGGGGGAGGGGGAGAGGGGGCAAGGAGCCTCTGGGGGAGTAGCGATGCTGTGGGGCCCCTCAATTTTCAAACATCATTAAGACGTATCTGTTTCGTGTCCCTCACAAGGAACACCCCTGCCTGGTGACAGAAGTGTTTCGCTCCACGCAGTCTCAGGCACATCCGGCCCTGCACGGCTTGGATTAAGCTTGACCTGCAGGGGTCAAGTGTGGTTTTGGACTAATTCAGGTGGACAGTGGTCTCAGATTGGTGGGAATTGCCTCTTGTTGAGACCAATCCCCAGGTTTAAAGTTCAAAGGTCAACTAGATAATCCCCCTGTTATGAAACATAAGACCTTCTCACAGCCCTGGCACCTTTCTTCTCTCAGTCTGTCACTCTCATATCACTCTCTGTCCCCTTCTCTGCTCCATTTCTATGATATAAATCCTTACCTCATTCATTTTGAGACGTATGTGTGATTATATAAGACAAACATGACCGTAGCCTCCGCTAGTATCTATACTGATTTTCATGATGTATGCCACCAGGTTAGATTTAACTAGCAATTTGCTGGATTGTGTTGTGGGATAAAAGGAGTTACATTTAAAGTTTTAAATCATGATGTCTGCCCAGGAACGGCAAGTAGAAGTTGTCTATGGCAAGAAGCATTTAGCTTCCCAAAGCCCAACTCCATCTCGCAAGAATTATCCCGTAATGCTTTTTTTTCACCACAGGTTGGGATGGTCTTGCCGAGCAGAGACATTTCATGGCATATTATCAATGTGTTTTCACAAACCGCAGTGAGAGCTTGTTATCCTCAGCTCTTCATCAAACAGCTCACTGTTTCTACCGATTTCTCCTTGCAGTATTTAGAACTGTTCTGCTGACCATATAGCGCAGAACAAGGGCTTAGGTTTCATTGCAACATTCATGCACCAGTTTATGGTACATAAAAAAAAATTGTATTTATGTAATGACAACACTAAATTCAACAGATTCTGCTGGGGTACGGCAACACCACTTGGACAACCACAGGCAGAACTACAGTACACCGTAATACTAGAACCGGTAGTAATAATATTTATTCTTTATATATGATTACGATGTGAAGGGGGGTGCACAGAAAATGTCTTATCTTGTTGCGTAGACCTGTTTTTCTCACTTCTAACTCGGCAACCTTTCCTTTTCACGATATAAGCATGAGACTAGCCTCAGCAGAAGGGCACAGGCTATACTCTACCAGAAGGTAGACTAAACGTCAGGCCAGTCAGCAGGCAGAAATATGTGCAGAGGATGACGTAACGTGCCCTTGCTCAAAACTTAAGAGACCCACAAACAACAGACAGAGCCTTCCAGCCGTTTAAGAGAAACAAGATTTCAGTTCATGTCAGTCATAGCTAATGGCACAAAACTGTGCAAGAAGCAGACGCAGCCAATTTAGCCTTTTGGACTGCAAAGAGTGGACTGAAAAGAGAGGAGGATCATATTTATCCAGGAGGAAGATAACATCTTATTCATGGGCCAAAAGTGTTTACTAGTTTTAACCAATTTAATAAATCCTTGGTCAGATGAAAAAGCGGATAACGCTTGTGGCTGACCCCAAAGTAAAGAATTGAAAACACATTTTGTTTTCACAACGGTTCGGTCGTATAAAGGATCTGTTTGTTGTATTTATTTGAGAGAGGAGTTGTGTGGATGCCCATTTCCACTCAGTTTCCGTACACATTCAGGGAGGAGGTGTCAGATCCCCACTATGTTGACAGCTCATGAAATAGGATACACAGGATAGAGTTTATTATATATATTTTACTTTCCAGCCAACACATTTCTTTCAGGATAAACTACAAACACATGTGCTTTTCCGGGGCCATGACTAAGCCACCCCAAACTGATCCGTATCTTCAATAAAAGTAACTTGTGCACTCTTTGGGTTTCAGAACTAGATTGAATCTTTTGGCCACAGATGGGACACATTCAGTTCTTCTATAAGAACCTCTGTGAAAAAAAGAGAAAGATACACAAACATCCACAATAAGGACCCACAATCAGAGCATTCCAACAAAGTGAACTTGAAACCCTTGATTGCTTGAGAAAACAACCTTGCTTAGCTCTGCTCACTTCAGCTGCCTCTCCGCGGCGCACAACCATGAAACCGCGTGTGGCATCCTGCGATTTAACACACTGACGCTGAATAGTGGAGAGGAAGTGTCTCTCAAGGGGAAATAGAATTAATTCAGCGCCATTCAACAGCTCCCGCACTAGAGTGACATACAGAACCCACTCTTATTTCTTCATTCAATGCACTGCGATGTTCTTCCTCTCGGCCCTCTTGCACTCTTCCTCTCCTCTCACTTCTCTGTTGTCATTTCTGATGCATGGTGGCTGCACTCCAGTCTCCCTTGGTCCCTATACCTGCAAAAGGCCAGTTACATAACCCCCTCCCACACACACACACACACACACGCGCGCAAATAACACAAACATGTACACGTCTCCTCTCACGTCAGAATATTTACCCCTCCACTCCGTCGCTTTACTCCATCCCGAAAAAAAGGCAACCCATAATAAATGGAGGCTCCAGTGCCACAGCGTTTTCAGCGCAGTGGAAATAATTTGTAAATTCCCCCTGCAGACTCCCGATTTAGCAAGGAGTGCTCAAGAACCCAGTGCTCTCTAAAACACACACTCCAGCCCTGCTGCTCCTGCTAGAGCCCCTGCTTGTTCCCTGAAAATAACACATGTCAAAACAAAGCCGCTAGTTGTGATCAGATTTTTTTTACTTTTGGTGCCAGCTCCGCCATAAAGAGAGGATGATTTTAAGGTTGTGAGTGTGTTCGGCTGCACATACTCACCCCCTCATTAGGGTAAGCCTCCCAGCCCAGGTCAGCCAAGGCTGACATGGAGTCCAGCAACGTAACTGCAAGAAAATGGAGAACAAACATGTTAACACACACATGCTATAAAAAACTGTACTTTGTATTCCTTCAAAGGACATTTTCTCACTTCCCCGATGCATACAGAACTTTGAAGGTACTCGTTTCTAAAATGTCTGCCACCCAAATACAATAGAGGTGTATTTAATTCTTTTTGTGGTACTCAAAGAACGAAACTTGCTCTGTTTACTCTGTAAAATCCACAGACCTCTCTGTGAACACTCGACTCTCGGAGTAATAGTCTCTATAAATGCTGTTGACAACATGGCCTGTGGATTGTTCCGACATTAGAGATGTATATCTCAAAACCTCGGCACATAAAACTGAAAGTGTCTCCGTGGCTGGAAAACACAATAGATGAGTGATAATATGTGGGTTTTTCTCATTTGGGTGAACCAAACCCATTCAAGCCTAAAAAGGACTGAATAATATAACTTTAATACTAAAAAAGATTGTGTTGGAGTATCGATGTCTATGATGTGCAACAGTAGCGTCAACGTAGATTTGCACATGTTGTTTCCTGTGTGTGATCTCTGTGTGACCGGATGCAGGATGCAGGAAGGTGAGAATGAAAAGGGAAGAGAGGAAGGTGGCAGGTTGACCAGCGTGAGGCATAATGAAAACCTGCTCGGATTCTGGAGCAAGGTTCTCCACCTGTGTGTGTGTGTGTGTGTGTGTGTGTGTGTGTGTGTGTGTGTGTGCAAGTGCGTGTGCAAGTGCGTGCGTGTGCACTTGCAAGCGCTCTTGTTATGGCTTGGCTCAGTCAGGTCCTAATCAGGCCTTCAACACCGCTGACCATCAATATTTAATCAGTATCCATCTGCAGAGACTGCTGCTTTTCTCTTTCTCTTACAATCTCTCACATTGTGGCCTTTTCAGGTTATCTTCCCTCTATCAACATCTTTGAACCTATGCTTTCAATCCACAGGTCCAAGATCAGACGGGTGAGTCGCTGACCTGACGCAAATTTAAACTGACGGCATCACTTTAAAGCAACAAGCTTTCGTATTCCCTCCTATTTTTATAAGCAGTGACCTGTACAAACTATTCAAAAGTAAAAAGAAAACAGAGTTTGCCTGCCTGAATGCAAATGAGACTAATCACTTAATTGAAGAGGATTGCCTGTTTACGAGCCCCTCTGTGCATCCATCCTGCCTGCAGGTATAACAAAGGCACTGTAAAATTGGTCCAACCTTTTTTCCCTATCTCTTCCCCTCCCTCTCTTCCTCTCGCACCCATGCTGTTCATCAGCCCTCACTGAATCCCAGCCGTTCTCCTCAGCTCACCCTGACAGCAGGGAGGCATGTCATGCTGTATTAGCGAGGGTACATGTGCGTGTGTGCGCACACAGCAGCGTCTGCATGAGAAACCAGCTACAGAGAAAGCAGTGCGCACAGTATAATGAAGCAGAGAGAGAGAGGCTGCACAGCACTGCCCAGGTGAGAGAGGGAGAGTGAGATAGATTAAATGAGAGGGATGAGACAGGAAGAGTGGAGGAGAGGTGCTGAGCAGCAAAAGGTCAGAAGCAGCCTGCAGCCCATGTGCGTATTCAGGAAGACTGCTTCCCTCATGGGCATTTGAGTGGCGCACAGAAATTAGACATAATAGTATAATGATATGTGATTTCAGGACTCACCGGAGAGGCACACACACACACACACACATTCTCACACACTCAGAGATGAGAGCTACCCATCAACAAGGTTCGTGGAATTTTAAAAAAAGTGTCTGTTTTGCATACAGTTATACCAACGTCATCCTCTGTGACTCACTGACTGCAATGCCTTCATGTGTTTCCCAGGCATTGTAACTGAGAGCAACCTTGATATATTAAAGGTTTGGTTCACTCAAATTACAAAAACATATTTTCTCACTTTCCGGAGTGATATTTATTTATGTTTTTTTTTCCATTTAAATACAGTATCAGTTTTTCAGAAACAGTGTCCTGATTATATACACATTGGAACTATTTTCTACTGAAGAAATTGCCCCTATTAACATAGTCGTTCTGTGGAATAACCTGTGGCGTAAAGATGTGAATGTTCAACTCTTTATTGGCACTTTATTTTTTTATTCACTCCAAACTGCCAATTTGTAGCTATACCTACGGAAATAAATATGTATAACACAATTTCTTTTTTCATTCTGGCAGGTTAGTGTGTGAGTTTGTACCTCTAAAACGGTTGTTTACTTTCGATTTTATCGAAACAGGGGGCATGTAACGATGTACATTATTGTACTTAAGTGTAAGTACTTGTACTTGCGTATTTCCATTTTATGCTTTACACTTCCACTCCACTACACCTTAGAGGGAAATATTGTACTTTTTACTGCACTACATTTATCTGACAGATTTAGTAACAGTTTCAGATTATCAAAATAAACTATGAAATGATGATATATTAGTATAGATTAAACTACCCAGCAGTAAATAGTCATTAAAACTTTAGCTGCAACATTAAAATGATGAACACGTTTATGCATCAATAACTATAATACAATAATATTGTAATGTATGTTGATCTGCATAGTGAGTACTTCTACTTTTGTGTCTTTATGTATACTTTGATAATAATATTTTTGTACCTTTACTTGAGTAATGTTTTTCATGCAGGAATTTTACTTTACATACACTGTAGTATTACACTTTCACTTAAGTAGAGATCTGAGTATTTCCTCCACCTCAGCTTGTTAACATTCAATTTTTTAAATATTTAAAGGTATTTCACTCATACACCCAATTTTCAGATACAGTTCATGTAGTGAAGTGCGTGAACTGTTTACTTCTCAATCCTCAGCTACCGTCTCTCTCTCTCTCTCTCTCTCTCTCTCTCTCTCTCTCTCTCTCTCTCTCTCTCTCTCTCTCTTCTCACTCCATCTCCATGTCTTTCTCTCTCCACTGTGACTTTAAGAAAGTGCATTTGCACACAGCTTTCACCTTGAGTAAAATGAGTCGTTCACTGTTTCATTTTGGAGCCGTAATGCAACGCAAGGTTTTTAAATAAAATCAAACAGCAATTACAACTCATGATGAAGAGAAATGTATCCTACTTCATGATACAAATCATACATAAAAGGCTCACTATTTAGCCTTTCCTTCACAAAAAGATCAATTTGCTTTTTTTACAGCTGGACCTGTACGCACTGCCATTTCTCCTCGACTCCTCCTGCTTCTGAGACATATCTCAAAAACTAAGAAAATAAAATCAAAACTATCTGCGTGACTAGAAAGGCAAACTTCTACAGGTACAGTAAGCAAGAAGAAAAAATCTGATTCAAGAAACTTTTTTGTGTCTGGAGTCACCCATCATGCAGAAACTGGTGTGTGCCCATTTTGCAGCCCATTGGGAAAAGACACACATACATTAACCTACACATCGACACTTTTCCTCTTCTCCTCACACCTCCTGTCCATACCACTTATCACTTGTAATCAATGACTGGACTCATCAATTATGTATTCGCTGGAGCTTCCTGTCTGCTGACACAGCCCAGTGTGCATATACAGTACGTATGTGTGTGTGTACCTGTGTGTGTTTGTCTGTCAAAGATGAGGAGAAAACAAAGAAATTATGCAAATATGTATTTTTTTCTTCCACAAACAAAAACAAAGCCACACCTCTTATTGATCTTTCCATCCATCTCTAAACGCTTCCACTGTGTCTCCCTCTCTCTCTTCTCTTTCTCCAGGGAACTGCCTAATTGTGTTTCTGTGTGTGTGTGTGTGTGTGTGTGTGTGTGCGTGGGTGTGTGTGTGTGTGTGAAATCTAAGCCTTGGGCAGGCCTGCTTCGGCCCAGAATAAAAACACCAAGCTCATCAGTCAATCACTCAGGCCAGGCTCATGTTCGATCTAATGACCAGTCCCTCTCGCTTTTACACATACACACACACACACACACACACACATTTTCACACACAATCTCCAGGTTTACAAGCTGCTAAACATGACGTATCATACCCACAGTGGAGCAACTTCCAAATTTGAGCTCTCACTGACATGATGAAAACAAAAATCTATCTATCATCACATCTTTTCTTCTGCCTGAAAATAGCACTTCCACTCAAGCAAATTCACTCAGGGACACACACACCCCTAATATTTCCCATGCTTTCATCACACGGCATAAATGCACAGATCCATACACATGTACATGTGACCTGATTACTGTGAGAGTTGTTCGATTACAGACGGACATGCTGTCTTATTGATTTTCAGCACTGAACTGTGAGGTTTAGATTCTGGGAGTGAAAGAGGAGGAGGAGGAGGAGGAGGGTGTGAATTTGTAAATTCCTGTACAACTGCTGAAAAATGCTCGTACTTATAGAACCGTGGGTAGAAAACCCCAAACATTTTCAATCTCTTTCTCTTGGTGTCTTTCCTTGCTCTGGGGTCTCTCTCTCTCTCTCTCTCTCTCTCTCTGTCCGTCCGTCTCTTTTACTTGCTTCTTCTCTGTTTGTTTATGTCTCTCTGCCACTCTCTCTCTGGTCGGTATCCACCGCTTCAGCTGGGCTGCAAGAAGCTGTGATCCACCTGCCAAGAATTAAACGATGCTGCCAACAGCCAGACTGCCGCACAAAGAGACCAGGATGCTTACACACACACACACACACACACCTTAGGATTGTGCCAGTGCCACAAAGAGAAAGACTGCTCAATAAGACCACCACAGACTCAATATATAGGACAATATGCGGCTACATGATGAGCTCATAAGACCTTTTCAGCTCAGAACACAAAATATTACAGCGGTAGACGTGAGATATAACGAAAGGGGGGGGCTTGCTGACACGACATTCAACATGCTGATACATGTAAGCCTCATTGTTTTTGTTCATCAGCTTAAAGCAATTTTCACCCAGGTTTCATGTCCCCACACATCCCCAAAAGTTATGTTTCCTGCTGCAAGAAAATGCTGACAACTGCAGTCTACTGCAATCAAGATGCTCTTGTGGCAGAAAATCTTCCGGTAATAGAAAGAGAGG